CCCCCCGGCTGGCTGGGACAGCAAAGGCAGCCTAAGTACCCAGGAAATGTGTCTGCACCAGGAACACAAACCAGGGAACCACAGAGGGTAATTCAGGGAACCCTCATTGTCTCACACGAAGCAGGCTCCTCAGGAGGAGAAAACAGTAAAAACTGTGCTTCAGAGCAGTTCTGCAATCAGAGCTGCTGCTCCTTCTGCCATCTGTTACCACCATATCAGCTCTTTGGAAAACAAGTTGAGCTTTGCACACAAAGCAAAGGTTGCTAGGTTTCCTTTAAGCAGTGAATAATAACATGTTCCCTGAACAATTCCTGTACTCCCTGAGAACAGCACTAATTTTCAGAGAATTTGAAAAGTAAATCTGTTAATAACCTTAGGAATGAATATTAATTAAACACAAACTCTTCCAGAAATTTAGCAAAATCTACAAGACATCTTTTTCCTTTTGATTTCTTTTGATTTTGAAAAATACTATTAACTGTTCAAACTACTCACATCAGACTGTAGTTTTGCTTTATATTCACATACTGTGTCTTACGTGAGAATTCTTATTTTTGCTAGAATGTGCTCTCTTGGCAGATGTCAAAAATCAGAATAATTTCCTACTAAGAATGGTAGGAAGGGCAGCCTTCTACATGAAATACTTCTGTATCTCCCAGTTTCATTGGGAGGAAAAGCCTCCAAACCCTCTCTTCAGCTGATAGCCATTGTGAATGATACCTCTTTCACTCACCTCCCTACCCCATGTATGCATTTACATGTCTTGTATAGCTTAGATTTACATTACAGTTACAGCTATTACAATTTAAGAATAAGAGAGGCAAAATTTGTCAGCAGAAGTGAGTTTTTGTTAGATTGATACACCTGGAAAAATATGGACAAACTCATCAGGTCAAGTTAAGGATGCTTTCTTTTGTTGCACCACTGTCCCAAACTGACACAGCATCCCTGACAGACAGTGGAACTAAGAAGGCTCCACACTAAATCTTCTGTCTAAAGATAGATGTTGCAAGTCTGAAACCCAGTAAACTACAGACAGGTGACGCATTACACAGTTCCTGCTCAGCACTCACTGATAGCTTTTAAACCTGATTTGACTGCAAAATGAACATCCGGTTTCTGAAAAGGATGTGTGTTTTAAAACTCCCTTTAAACTCATCCAAAGCACTGTGAATTAGCATTATAGGTGTGTCCAAGCAATGGCTGCAGAGTAGCTGAGCCCACTGCAGTGTGCCCACCTTCCAGACACATCCCAGCCAGCCTCCAGCTGGAATCCCCAGCACAGCATCTGTGCCAGCCCCACTCCCCACCTCTGTCTGCAGCACAGGCACTGGGAGTTAGAAAACCTCCAAAGGAGACTCGAGGGCTCTTCTCTTTGGCATTTTAAATTAATGTGAAATGCAATGCTGGAACAGAGTCACAGTAGAGACTCCCAAGGGCCCAGCCTGTCAGAGGAAGAAAATGGATTGGCTGATTTATGTATTTGCTAACTTCTCCTCCGAGTCTTTAGTGGCAACCAGGAACAGTGGTTTAACACTTCAGACATGAAACTGTCACTTGGATGTAAGTGACATTTCCCCCTTATTACATGCTATTTTTCCTGTGACCGTGTCCCTCTCACATCCCAATGAGACCCTCAGATTAGAGGCAGAAACACTGGTAGAGTTTGAAGAGTTCCAAGTGCTCAATGTAAATCAGTGCTCCAGTTTTGCAGAAATGGACTTTACACAACAGCTACTACAACTACATCATCCTCATGTCTTCCCCCTGACCTGGAAAGCATCAGCATTAGATGGAAAAACCAGCCTGTGATCTCTGTCAGGAGAACACCAACAACAGCCCCCTTTATGGCAGACACCTCTGGGAGGAGAACAGACCAAGGCTCTGAAAGCTTCCTTTGCACAGGTCTGCAGACAGCTGTTAGAAGGCACTAAACAGTGCCAAAAGCCTCTGGAATTTATTTCCAGCTTCATTCCTTGGTTGTGACACTGGAGGTGTTAAGCCACAATCAAATCACTCTCCCTTCCCGTGCTTTAGTTTCTCCTATTAAGCAGGTATTGACCTTTCTTCATTAAGCACCCTGAGATGTAGGAATGAAGAGCAAGCAGGTAAGAGCTGATTGTTATTAGAGCTACTAATAATAATCCTTGAGCTCTGTAAATCTCTCAGGTAAAATAATTTTGTATGACTAAGTACATCTCTCAAATCCTTCCAAATCTCTACCTGAACTTTACAATCTAGATAGTTAAGATAGGGCAGGGAAAAGGGTAGCAATGGAAAATCATTTCCTCCTCACTGGAAACAGAACACATTCAAAAATGTAAAAAAGTGCAAAACCCTTGTACCTGGGCAATAGGGGTCTGTTTTGGGACACAAGTCCCCCAAAATAGTTTTGTCTTTTTCAAAATATTTAAACTTTCATTGAATATTTAGTTCTGAGACCTTTAATTTATCTCCTTAACAGTTATATTTATAGTAAGGAGACAAATCATCAAACAAGAATCAGTTTCTTTCTCTGAACATTCTTCTGAATTTAGATGTTGAGACTGTCTTGAGGCTCAGAATTATTTGAATAAAGGCTTCATCCTGTCAGTGAGTGGAAACATTGACTGGTTTTATCCACATTTTCAAAACAAGAAAGTCTTCTCTCCCCTCAATCACCACTTTTCACAACGTTTTGGTTTTAACCAACATGGAGAGCAATTGCTCCTTTACTCAGAGATGGAAGCTGTGCAAGGGGAACAGTCTTCACAAGTATCCTTCCAAAACAACACTCAATTGTTGCCTTTTCTGCTTCAGCAATGGAAACATTGTGCTTTCCACAGGAGTCAGGAACTTAAAAACAGAGTTTGCACAGACAGAGACACTCAACTCCATTGCACTCTGGAATGGGAAGCAATTAGGGTTCCCTTGCTCTGCAAGGCTCTGTTACTTTCCTTAAAACCAAACTGAGAGAAACTCTAATGTAGGACTGGCTTGTGTTATATACATTCAAAATGCTGTAAGAGCCAGGAAAACTACCACCTAAAAATAGGGGTATAAGCTGTCCATTGCTGGTTAGAATGACACTTGCCAACCAGAGTTCTGATACCTTTTGCTACCCCAGTGCGAGACCTCGAGGCTCCTGAAGTTAATGGACTGATTCTCACTGACTTCAAAAATAAACCAGGCTTTTACTTACTGTAGCTTTTGTCTCTGGAGTCCACACACACTCAGTTGCTGATTAAGAACTACATCAAGAAAAACAACCATCAAACCTACTTTATTTCAAAGATAAAATTAAATATTCCTACTTTTTTTCTTACTGTTGCTGTCAAAGAAATGACCGATGATCACTTAATGTATAATTAAGACAGAAAGTAATTTCATATCAAGACAGACTTAACTCAGAATGAAAAATATTTTAGGAATGAAGCACAGTATGTCAAAATGACACAGAGAGGAGAAAAAATGGTCTTTTGGCTGGGTAGAATTCTGTTATATTTAAAGGAACGGAGTAGTCTTTGAATCTTCACAATAATTGGTCTCTATTCCCTGCTCAACTGTAACATTATTTAACTACTTGGATCCATAATTAAGTTCATCATCCCAGTGGAATTTTGAAAAGAGGCTTAATTTTCTGCAAGAGAAATGGAGACATTGCAGCCTGCCTAGCTGGGTGGCAAATCAATGACTCAGCACTGGGCAGCTGAAAACAGATTGGTTTTAATCTCCTAATCCCCACTCTGTGCATATGTTGAAGGGTAGTCTTTGTGACCCCAGTAGTATTTATACTGCACAACATCTATGGCCATTTTTTGCTTGCAGCACTTTATGATGAAAACAATAAGTTGTTGCTGTTTATAAACACATAAGAGTATAGCACAGAAAGCTTAGACCCAGTGTCTGGAAATCTGTATTCAGATATGGATAGGCTTTTATGTCAAATGTATGTGAAATAGTGAACTATTATCAGAACGCAAAATCTAATATTTGCCTTTTTTTTTTTTTACACAAATCACAATATCAAGTTTTTGCTTTGTTTACAAATTACAAACAGGGGGCACAAAACCCCACACTGATCCTTATTCACAGTCCACGTTCTTAATGGCTACTAATGGCTTATGCTGAGGATTTGGGACTAGAAAGTACATATAATTTGAGCACCTGGTGTACTTTACTAGCATTAGAAAAAAGTTCAGGGTTTAGTTAGGGAAACCTATTCCAAACTGTGACTAAATCACAAAATCTGAGATCCAGTATTCACAAATTAGAAGAGACTTCTCTCCAGTTTAGAAAGAGACCAGCCAGATTCTCCCAAGAACTGAGCACAAACAGCCACTAGTCTTGGAAAAGCAAATCACTGCATGCAGACTTTCATTTCTGCTTTTCATGATTTACAGACATATAACCCCAGGCTTCCTGTTCTCTCTACCATTAGTTAATTAAGTAAACTGTGTTAATAAAGCAAAAAAGCTCTGTGCTCCCCAGTGTTCCAGGCACTTCTTTTCTCTTGTTTACTCTTCCTATCTTTCCTTACTAATCCTTTTGCAACCAAGAGACAGAAGTAGCCATATATTTCACTGCAATTCTTTCAGTTTTATTATACTGGCATTTAGACTTTTAATTGGTTTTTGACTGCCAGACAAGCACACAACAAGCATAAGCTGGTTTCCAACAGTAACACCCATTGCACTGTGCTAATGTTATGAAGCTTAGGATTCAGGCATTTTTTTACAGATAATTCTGCAAAGAAATAAACTAAAATTACATGAAAACTACTTCAAATTTTGACTTTATAAAATTATACTTGAGTTCTACCTCCAAAAGTCCCTCATTATTTCATGCACATCCATCATTTTAATACAGTGTCTAGGTTACAGGACCCATATATAGGTTATATCAGGAAATCTAAATCTGAATATTGCCTCTGAACTCTTAACAGAAAGGAGAAAGTAATTTAACTTTATAACTTCTCACATATATAGAGTCAATATTTGTGGCTTCAAAAAGGCTCTTACCTTGAGAAACAAGGCTCCCTTGGAAGCCAGGGAGTCCATTCCTCTTCCATTGGGGTAACAGTGATAGGCAGCATCCATGACAGGATAGCGGCTGGCAAAGAGCAGGCCACTGTTCACAAACTTAAAGCTGCAGCAGCCGTGGCAGCTGTAGACCCCAACATCATAGACAATGTATTCAAAGTAGTGGTGGAGCTGCTCTTTCAACTTCTCCGCAGCTCTTTTGTCAAACACCTCCTGCAAACACAGAAAGTCCAGGTTGGCAGGGAAGAAAGCAGAGATCTCATGGTCGAAGGTCTCGTCCGTGTGTTTCTTTTTCCGCACCGACGTTTTCTTCATGATGGAAGCTTTGTAGAGGAGCTTGTTGTTGACAGTGCTTTGGTCCACGGTGCCATCTCCAGCACGGACCTTCACCAGGGACTCTCGTGAGGCAGAGTAGCTGTCTAAGCTCCCGGAATCTCCTTCCTTCTGTTTGTGGTTGGGTGTTTTTGAGATCTCTGCATCCCCCTCCAGCGAGGGCTCTGCTGGGCCGCTGGCGTGAGCCCGGCCATTGACGGTGTCTGGGTCTGGGTCTGACATGTGGCCATTGTCCTCCCCATTGATACGGACAATGCAAGTGTTGTCTTCTCCCTCAGTTGGCTCTCCACTTCCACCTTTCTCTTCTCTCTCCTCGCTGTTGTTTGAGCCAGAATTGTCTCCTTTGTACTCCATTGACGTTGTCCTTTTGATGCCAGCGTTAACAGCACGGTTGGTGTTCTCTCCCCCCTGGGGGGAGGCCAGGCTGCTGAAGCTGGCGGCACTGATGGAGGTGTTGGTAGGAGAGTCTATGTAGATTTTGATCTGGGGTCTGCTGGCCCCGTTGTGGATCCTCCGGCCGATCTCTTTAGCCCTCGCCTGCGTATTGAAAACATTGTTGAACCTTGCCAGTGAATCGGGCAGCAGGCAAACGTTGGCAGTGCCAAAGCAGAAGCTCTTCCCGCTCCCTGCAGCCTTCCACTCGGTGAGCAGCGTGGCTCCATTGGCACGGTGCTTGTCTCGGAGCCTGGAGTAGATGTACGGCCTGCGGGCCGACTGCAGCGGGGACCAGAGCAAGAAGCCGATGAGAGCGAAGGGGAGAGAGGCTGCCAGCAGTGCCAGGTAGATGGGAGTGGTGATGATGATGCAGAGGGCATGGAAATAGCAGGGGTCATCTGCTCTCTGCCGTTTCTCGTAGGTGGTTGGAACAAAAGAGCCCACGAGCCTGTCTGCCAGCCAGTAACATGGGAAAATCAGGCCCCAGGAGAAAGAATGCAGAACTGACAGAAAGCTGTTGGGAAAGGGAGAAGTGTACAAAACCATTGCAGCTCAATTACAACAACACTTCAGGGCCTACTACATGATGTCACTGTGTCAAGCATCCACAAGAACACTGGGAGAGAGCTGGGGAAAAAAGGTCCAGTGAGGAGTTTTGGTTTTTTTCCAGTGAGAGTCAATAACAAAACTTTAAGAGCACCATTTCACTGTGTTGGAGTGAAAATGAAACAAGGCCACTGTTTTCGTCTCGCTTTTTGGCATCTATATTTGTCAAAGGATGTCATTGTTCACTGGGGGCTGCCATAATGAAACACTCCAGAGGCAAAAGGGAAACCTATAAAAAAAAGACAAAACACATGTAATGGTTATTGGAAGTTTAAAGCAGATTCAGATTTTCTCACAACAATTAAAGGCTTATTATGTAGAAGGAATATTTAAGCAAAATATACATTAATTGTCATTTACATTATTGTTTTTAAATTCCAACTTTCAGCTCTGAAGGAAACAATACTAATCAAGTGTAAATCACAGTTTCACATCTTTCCTCTGAAGAGAGATTAGGTCTTTCAAAAACTGTCTCACCACTTGGGAAATTCTGACCTGAGGTATTTAGTAAATGTCAAGATTAACCAAAGACATCAAATTTTTAGGGGCCTGATCTTACAAAAGGAAGAAAAATCTGGTAAGATAGTGACAGGGCCTTGTAACAAAAACAGACTAGAGGTAGAAATCAAATATTAAAATAGAATGAGAAAAATCAGGTTGTGTGGGGACAAAGCTATAAACACCTTCCAAAGCAAAACAAAATAGTTGGTACTCAAATCCTATGGCAAAGAAAGAGTCAGAAAGTGCCCGTGTTGAAAAGGATGGTGGGACCATAACACAACTGCTTTTAACTTCTGTGTCCTGGGCATGCAAGGAACAATCTCAGAGACCTCAGGGAGAATGACCAGAGATCCAACGATGTGTAATAAATACACACCTACTGATACCAGGAAAAGATCACCAAAACCTGATTGAAAATAAAAAAGTGTGTGAGGGAGGGTAGAAGAAAAAGGAGCTGTTTTTGTGCCACAACACACCCCCAGCCTCCCAAGGGCAGTGACAGCCCTGCCGTGGCTGCACCCTCTGCCAGCACCAGTCACTGCAAGGGCTGCACTGTCCTGGGCAGTTTTGCCCTGATGGTACTATTTAGATGGAGATTGGAAAGGTTGGATGGAAGAAGGGTTTTTTTCGTTTTGTTTCAATTGTTAGCTAAGCATAACTTTAACAAACTCATGCAACATGTTTGAGTTCAAAGAAATGAGTGACAAGTCAAGTGCCAGATAACAAATGCTTGGCATTTGCTTGTTGCCAAAGGCATTTTGGGATGTTGATAATAGAGGGAAGCCTAGCAGATTTGTTTTCCTGAATGATTTTTAGGACTCTTCAGTAAAAATGCTCAAAAGAGACTTTGGCATCGACATATCAGATAGAAAAAATAACTTAAAACCTACCCGAATAATGTAATTACCATTAGAAAAGAAAAAAACATAAAGAAGTTATTCTGTTCTGGATACTTGAAATGCTTTCTAAAAGCAGCAGACCAGAAGGGTTGTTGTTTACAGCAGTGCCAAGGGTAAACAGAACATCAGGTTTGGGATCTGTGAAGTGAGGACAAACCACAAACCTTACAGTCCAACTTCCAGGCTGACAACCTGCCTGGCGAGAGCTGCAGCTGTGTTACAGAACATAAGGTCAATTTGACTTCTACTATTTTAAAACAACACACCACAAAAAATGCAGAAGCACAACGGATCCACAAAAATTTGCCTAATTTGGTCTTCCATAGATAAGTGTTTTAAGTCTATGATGACAGGGTGTTACAACTCCTAAGAGAACATGACATCAGGTGACAATTTGTAGATAGAGCAGTCAACGCTGCTAAAGGATGTGCTGAAGTCAAAAAACCCCCAAATCAATCCAACACAACTCTTGCCAGTTCTGTTATGGACTGCAGTGTCAATAATCTGCAAGATAAACAGCTGCCCAGCAAACCATGAAATGCCCCACTAAAATAGCTCACAAGAGCAATTATCCAGCTGATGGGGACATACAGCATGAACAATTCCTGCTTCCTGCAGATCCAAGGTGTGCCAGTAACAAAGGAAGAGCAATGAATGCAAGCACAAATGCTTTCGGGGGTAAGACTGCACAGCAAATGTCAGAAAGCAAATTGTTTGACTGAGGTTTGTTTTAGCAAGAACGTAATTCTTTGTGAACATTAAAGACTGAATGATGGTTCAAGGCCACATTGGAGACTCCTACACTTCCTCTGCCTTAAAAAGGGAGAGTATCTTTGGAAATCAGGACAATTTTTGACCAGGTGCCAGCTGTATTCCTCACTGCCAGCCTGCTGAAGTGGAGAGGCAATAGGGATTTGAGTACAGAGATGTATTCCACCCATTTTATTTCATGAATTCTCATAGAATCCCCACAACTAATGATACAGAAGTTTAAAAACTCTGGCAAGTTTTAAGATCTCATTGCTGGAGAAAAAGGAGATCAGAATCATTAGCTGGATGTCCTTTACATTTTTGCATATTGGAGACAGAAGACATGGACACATCAAGATCCTAATTAAAAGCATTCTTCTTCCAAGTAAATTATTATCCTGATTTATTACACTTACAGATGAAGGAAATCACACACTTGCCAAAGCTCTGTTATAGACTCACTGGCTGTTTGCTGCAAGTCACAGGCACACTGGTGTCTCAAAGCCACGCAAAAAACCAGAATTAAGAGAGTCATGAGAGCCAGATTTTATCTCCACAAGATCTTAAAGGGTGAGGGAAGGCACCGTGTGAGTCCACTGGCCCTTGGCAAACATGACGTCAGTGACATCTCTGCTAATGCAAGGTTCAGATGGAGTCTAAAGCCAAAGTGCCTAATTCCTCTGCTGAAGGGCATTACTTGGTAATCCAATGCTTTATTCATAGGGCTTTGAGAGATTAAGGGAGAATTTAAGATATTGCAATGAAACAGATATTTTTGTATGCTACAAAGACGTAAACTGCAGTCTTGTTTAGTTGTTTTTATTACTTTCTAAGTGTTTGAAGGCTAAAAATAGACTTTATTTAATTTTTTTTATGGTGGCAGTATAAAACATCTCAACTTCAGTGATAACAAGACATCAGGTGGAAAGGTTTGAAAGATTTTTATGATTATAATTATGCCCAGAAGTATGCTAGAGACACCATAGATCAAAAGACATGTTCCCAGCTCCAACATCGCTTGCAAACTAAACAAAGGACTGTACAAGTCAACAAGTGGTCGAGAAAGAGAGGCAAAACAAGAAATGTTGCCATAATAAGGTTACGCAGACAGTCTAGAAATGGTCAGAAAAGTTTTAACTTCCTTTTGCTTAGAAACTAAAATACACTTTCAAATTCAGACAACTAAGATTTCTTCAAAGTTCTTCAAAGTAATATCTCATCTGTATTTTTAGAAATACTTGTAAATCACTGGTAGAACAATTATTTTTTTAAAAAATGAATAAAACTGCTGAAATGACTGATTTGGAAAGTTACCTTATAGGTAACTTGACATAGTAATTTACACAGATTCATTAAAACTAGTTTTTCTTGAATCCTGACAATCTTGGTCTTCAGTGGAAGTCACAGCAGTATGTATCTAAAGTTGGATTCTAGAAAAGCAGTTTGTTTAGACTGTATTGACTTTTTGTTACCCTTATTTCCTTATTGTCAGTGTAATTTGAAGCAAAGAAATAAATCTTACAACAGTATTCCCACTACACCACACAAAACAACAAAAATTAGTGTTTGTAACTGAGATGACATAACTGAGGGAATTCTCACTCAGGCTCTCATCCTTGCTTATTAGACAAACCATAACTTAATTTTTGGTTCCTTCATTGTTCTCATCTGGTTTTCCTCCCAGACACACTTCATAAAATCCTCCTTTCTTTATTCAATGTTTTCCCCATGATTATTCTTATACATGCTTTTAATTAGAGCCTAGTTCAACAACTACCTCACCTTCTGGAAAAATCCCTCCCCCAAAAGGACAAACCCCATGAACTGTTTTCCATGTGTGATTCCAGCCTGTCCTTACAGAGATGCAGAATCTCAAGTGCCAGTGGCTCTAATGGAGATCTTTTCTTGCTCCCTTGTGAGCACCTCCCAGGTGATGTTTGACCTGCAGCCCTTCCATCCTGGCTGGGACTCAGTTCACAATGCAGGGCAAGAGAATGAAGCAGAACTTTTGGCTCACCTTAGCTTCCACCTCAATCAATAACAATTTAAAGCCTATGAAAATCCCAGTAAAAATGTGGACCCTCTGTGTATGAGAAGTTGAATTTGGTCTATCACTGATAAACAAAGAACCCATTCAAACTAAGGATGTGGCAGGAGGAGAAGGGAAGGAGGAAAGTGTTTTTGCAGACTTGCTATTGTGATGTTCATTTACCAGTTGCTGCCTAAATGTTCTCCTTTCTTTCTAAAGAAGGCAATCAAAGGTTGCCTTGCTGCTCTGCAGCTTGTCTCTTTTATGTCCACAGGCTGCCATCAGGCAACAAGTCGGCATAAACAAGATGTCTAACTTAATTGAACTAACCTGTAAAAAACAGAACATTAAGAAGTTTGAATTGACAAGTCTCATTAAATACTGGTGATGTCAGCAGTTAAGTAGATGTCTGCAGGAAAAAAAACCAAATACCCCCCCAAACTAATGAAAGTGCTCAAGCCTCTGGAGTATTTGTGAATTAGCAATGGTGCAGTCTCTGTTCAACACAAGGAGGTATCAAACACCTGGGCTAAATTTTCAAAAGGAATCTTTGGAATCTCAGTGATGCCTTTCTTCACATTTCTGTGAAAGGTGAACATGAGGAAGACATGGTGCTGTTATCACCTGCAACCTTGGCAGCTCCAGGGACCTGACCCAGGGCCCTGAGTCCATTGGTCCCCTTCTGTTCCCGAGCCCACCCTGCTGCAGTTGGACCAGGGTGACACAGGGACCCCGGGCACCCATCAGGCACTGGGAGCCTCTCAGCCTCTTCATTTGAAAAAACAGTGGCTGCAGCTGCAGAGAAATCAGGCTGTCATGGTACCCTATGTACCCCCAACCCAAATGGGACCTTTTCTCTCACAGCACTGAAAATTTGCTTATGATCACACAGCAAAACTGGCTTTGTGCTTGACAGTTAAGTGTGGCATGGTAACAGATTCTTATTTCCAAAAGCAAATCATCCCATTTTGGTAGTCCCAGATCACATTCCTAGAACAGAAACCACACCCACACACCTTCTGCTACCTGAATTAAACTGGATTAAGTTTT